CGTCCCCCTTAGCCAACAGGCTGAAGTCATCATTATTGATGACGTCTCCCCCTCTAGGCTAGTAGGAGAGGTCCGAGCAGTTGCGACTTGTGGGGTAGTAAAAGTTAATTCCTTTTGAAAGAGAGGGAGATTTGTATTGATAAGAATGACTTATTACAAATCAAGAAATCAAAATTACAACATAAGTGCAGAGAATGCTCTTCTTGTTTAGCGTGGGTTCTTCGGTAGCGATATGATGCCTCACTCGGATGCTTGCATCGAGTTTGCTTCCCTTGGATGATCCGATCGAAATTGTGGTTGAGCTTTAGTACGTAGTAGAAGCTCTTGTGTGATTGAGTTCGATTATACCCGAGATTGATGAGTATCAAGGCCGAAAGCTTAGAGAGGGCTATAATGCAAGAGTTTGCAGAGAGCTAATGAGTCTCAAATTTAAGAGTTCACATTGAGTCTACTTCAACAATCCAAGCAAAGAGCTAGGAAGGTTCTACCAAGCAAGCCAATGAAGATCTTTGTTTGAAGAGCCTTGAGGAAGCCAATTAGCTAGTCTACAAAAAGAAGAAGCCAAGAGCCTTAAGAGAAAGTCTCCAAATGATTCAGCCTCTGGTTGGAGAGTCTTGAAAATGCCAAGATTCTCAACCAAATTGTTAGCTGAACCCCTTTCACGTTAGCAAAGGGGTCCTATAAATAGGCAAGGGAAGACATGAGTCATTCCTTGATTTGTGAGATGTGACCACTAATAGGAGTAAGGAGTAGCATACTCCCCCTATAGCTATGGGATGTGACCACTATAGGGGTGATGAGAGCCATGCCTCATTACCCAAGATGTGGGAAGTGGGTAGGCCCACTCCTACAAGCAAGCATCTGCTTGCACTGTTCAGGCGGGGCTGACAGGCTTGCAGGTGAGCTTGAGAGCTGCTTGAACGTTCAGGCAAGCTTGCAGGCGAGCTTAGCAAACAGGCAGGGTCGGCTGGCAGGCCCCTCGAGCGTGTGAGCTGGCGTTTGTTGACAAGCTGAGTTTTTGCGGACGGACTCACTGCAGGCGGACTTGATTGGTGCGGGCGAACAAGGCATTCAGGCAAGGTCGAGCTCGTGCTGGCGAGCTCAATACATGCAAGCACTTCTTGGCCTCAGGCAAGCTTGACTTGTGCTGGCAAGTCAAGCAAACAGGCGAGCTTTTGCTTGACCTCTTGGCAGGCGAGCCAAACAAACATGCAAGCATGGCTTGGCCTCAGGCAAGCTTGACTTGTGCTGGCAAGTCAAGCAAACAGGCGAGCTTTTGCTTGACCTCTTGAATGCAGGCGAGCTTTGCTTGCTTTGAGCACGCAGGTGAACTCAAATAGGTGAGCTTTGAGCTCTCTTGTGTAAAGGCAAGTTTTATTGCCTACACGGCTATTGAAGCTTGGGCCCGTGCTGAAGAGACTACCAGCCAGAGTCTTGTGCCTGAACCATCCCACAGGCCAAGCAAGGAGCTTGCTGGGACTTCGGGCGTTGGAAAGCAAACAACACCACCTCCGCCCCTGCAGAATCCTTGGCGAGCGAGGCCAACGAGGAGTAGAAGGACAACTCCTCCTGGCCTTTCTGCCATTGGGTCTCGGAGCTAGACCCCTAAGTCTGGAAGAAGTCTATGGCTATGTTGAGTGGAGTGCCACTGTGCCCCTGTTCGCCCAGAAGGGAGTTCCCAGAGGGCGACAGGTTCATCCCGGAGGCGCTTCTTGACAGTGAGAGTTCGGTCTTAGGGTCAACAACGACCCAAGTCCGAGCGATCTAACATTTCACCCTTTCAAAGGACGAGGGGTTCTTACGGGAGATGCCGAGCGTCGGCTTGCATTTGGCCCTCAAAGGCTACTTGTTTCTGGGGGCCCTGCTCGAGGTGGAGCTATTTAGCCGACTTTCCTACATGTATCACTCCCCTCCTAAGTTGGAGGTGGACTTTGCTAGGGAGAAGTCTGTTAGGGAAGAGGCGGAGAAAAGGGCACCGCCTTGGAGGTTGAGCTAAACAACAACGAAACCAACTGACGTCGGGAGCTGGACATGAGGGAAAAGCTCATCAAAGGGTTTAGACCGTACAACGCCAAGCAGACAGCTTCCATCAAAAATCTCTAAGGCGAAGTGGCCCAACTAAGGGAGGAGGTCGGCCGTCTCCAACAGGGAGTCTCCGAGCGGGATGACCGCCTATCTTCTCTAGAGGAGGAGGTTAAATTCTAGAGGCGTCTCAAGGTGACGGCTCAGGAAGATGCTCGATCGAATCATCTCTTGGCCGAGCATCTGAAGCGGGACCTTGAGGAGGAGCGATTAGCCCACCAGACATCCACCGCAATCATCAAGGACCTAGAGGATTAGCTCGCTCGCCTGGACTCAGAATAGTACAAGGTGAAAGTGGTCAATGACTGGCTCTAGGGTCCCTTAGGGAAAATTGAAGTGGCCTTGGCATGCAAGACTATCGTTGACTATCTAGCTTCACTGCTCCTCCTGCCTCTTGCCCTACACCAATCCGATTTTATCCTCCTCAAGTTTCTTGCTGCCTTGACCTCCTCAAGGAGATCGAGGCGAGTGGAGGAGGGCTGGAACTGGCCATGGGTGATGGGGATGACGATGAGTTAGGAGACGACCCCAGAGAAGTCCCTCCCACTTCCTCTTCTGCTACTCCAGCCTTTGCCGTCTCTACAGAGGATCTCCCAAGCCCTACTCCGACCCTAGCCGAGAGGCCTGAGAGCTTGTATCTTTTCCTTTTCTTTTTGTAAATATCGATATGGGTAATGTAATAAAATTTGTTTGAAGTTGGAATAAAGATTTGCACTTTGCTTTCATTCTGGAATTTGCCTTCAATTACTTTTTGTTTTAGCTTTGGTTGTTTGTAGCTCTATTCTAGCTGGGAGAACAAGTGCTAGTTTCCACGAGTCAGTTGTGTCATGGCGACTCGAGTGTTGATGGGTCGAATCGATTGGCTCGTCTACTATCTTTTATCGGCGAGATGTCTTGGTCTTTTTGTTGAGGACTACCGAAAGGTTGGGACGCCTAGGACTTAGTGGGGACGCCTAGGTTTTTTCAGTAAAATAACAACCCGAAGGTTGGGTGCCTAGGTCTTAGTAGGGACGCCTAGGTATTTTCGGCAAAATAACAATCCGAAGGTTGGGTGGCTAGGTCTTAGTGGGGATGCCTAGGTCTTTTCGGCAAAATAATGCCTAGGTCTTTTCGACAAAATGATAACCCAAAGGTTGGGTGCCTAGGTCTTAATGGGGACGCCTAAGTCTTTTTGATAAAATGACAACCCGAATATTGGGTGCCTAGGTCTTAGTGTGGACGCCTAGGTCTTTTGGACAAAATGACAACCCGAAGGTTGGATGCCTAGGTCTTAGTGAGGACGCCTAGGTCTTTTCGGTAAAATGACAACTTGAAGCTTAAGTGTCTAGGTCTTAGTGAGGACACCTAGGTCTTTTTGGCCCGTCGGGGGCAGTCGAGTCACAAGCGTGGGATCCTATCACGTGGCGGGTGTGCCTTAGGATTATCATGAGAGGGCACAAAGGGCTTGGAATTCCTGCATAGATTTGGCACTTCGAGAGTGTGACACAAGAGTCAGATTTAAAAGGATTTCCTTTATAATAAATGAAATTTTGTATAAGGTTATTGAAAGTATTTCTTAAGATGCTCAATGTTCTAGGGGTGTTGCAGGATTCTTCTATCTGGGGCTCTTAGCCGATAAGTGCCTGCTCGCAACTCCTCAAGGACTGTTTATGAGCCTTCCCAATTAGGAGCTAGCTTGTCTCTTCTGGTATCTTTATCGAAGGTGGCTTTGGGAAGGACGAGGTCACCGACGTTGAATCTCCTGGGCCAGAACTTGTTGTTGTAGTACCAGGCGATTTGTTGCTGATTGATGACCTGGGTTCGAAGCGCTTTGTCACGGATTTCATCTAAGAGGTTGAGCCCGACCCGAAGTCCTTCTGAGTTCAAGTCCTCATCAAAGTGCTGCAGTCGGATGGTCAGCATGCCGACTTCGACTGGGGTGACTGCCTCGGTGCCATAGGCTAGCTTGAAGGGATTTTCTCCTGTTGAGTTCTTGTGGGTTGTGCGGTAAGACCAAAGAATACCTGGTAGTTCATTGACCCAGTTTTCTACCGCCACGTCCACCTTCTTCTTTAAGGCTTGGAGGATGCATTTGTTGGTAGCTTCGGCCAGTCTGTTGGATTTGGGGTGGACGATTGAGGAGAACTTGAGGCGGATATTGTACTCTTCACAAAAACTTCGGAAGACCCCACTGTTGAACTGAGTGCCGTTATTGGTTATGAAGGAAAGGGGCACACCGAATTGGCAGAGGATAGAAATTCAAATAAAATTCGTGACATTACTTTCACCAATCTTGGCTAGAGGTTCAGCTTCAATCCATTTGGTGAAGTAGTCGATTACTACAATGAGAAATTTTCTCGTCCTGAATCTATAGGGAGAGGACCTAGTAAATCTAATCCTTATTGAGCGAAGGGAATAGGACTCAGGATGGAGGTTAGTTCAGTGGTTGTTATTCGCGGGATGGATGAATAGAGCTGACACTTTTTACATAGAGAAACGAGTCATCTGGACTCAGCTAATATGGTGGGCCAGTAGTTCCCTTAGCGGATGATTTCCTGCGCAAGGGTTCTGGATCCAGGATGATTCTCTCATGTTCCCTCATGGATCTCCTTGAGAACATATCTAGCCTCCGATGGCCAAGACACCGAAGATAGGGAGCCCATGCTGCTGCTAGAGTATGATATCCAATAGAATTAACTGTTAATCATAAGGTAGTGACAGGAGTTCATTTGTAGACGCCTGGCTTCGGCGGTACTCTCGGGCAATGTGCCTTGTGTGAGGTAAAGGGTGATAGGATCTAGACAATAAGGTATTACGGGAGTATCGGTTTGCATGACTGTCTCTGGCGGCCTAGAGATGCTAGGACACTCGAGGGTGTCAGTGTAAATGGGCCCTGAGATGTTTCTTGAGCTTGTTGACTAGAGCTTGGAGAGGGCATCCACCTGGGTGTTGGGAGCGCGGGGGACCTGGGCTATCTTGAAATCCATGAAACTAGCTAATATCTCATTAGTAGCTTTGAGGTACAAGACCATTCTTGGGTCTTTAGCCGCGTATTGCCTATTCACCTGATGGACGACCAAATGTGACTTGGCCAATATATAGAGGCGCTCGGCCTTTACTGCTTGGAAGGCTCGGAGGCCAACAAGAAGAGCTTTATATTCGGCTTTATTGTTTGAGGCCAAGAAACTAAAAGCGATGGAGTGCTCGTGCGTCGACCCATCTGGGCTGCGCAGGACTATCCCCCCTCCACTGCCGGCTTCTCCTGAGGACCCGTCCACCTTCAATAACCACCAAGAAGCAAACTCTGGCGAATTATATTCCAAGGTGCGACGGGTCTGTGGGTCAGGTGCTTGGATTGATGGGGGTGCTAGAGGTTCTTGCTGTGTCGATGGTGAGGGGGTGTCCGGCTCATCGTCTGGTGACGTCGACTCGATAAGAAAGTAGGCTAACGCTTGAGATTTAATCGTCGTTCTTGGCTCGAACTATACATCATATTCGCTGAGTTCGACTGCCCAGGCGATCGTTCTCTCGGAAGTTGTGGGGCTACCCAGTGCTTTCTTCAGAGGTAGACTTGTTTGCAAGATTATGGAATTAGCTTGGAAATAGGGGCGAAGTCTCCTCGTGGTGGTGATGAGGATGAAAGCAGCTTTTTCTATGAGGGGGTAGTTGAGCTTGCCCGCTTTCAGGATTCGGCTCACATAGTACACATGCTTCTGGATGTTCTCTTCCTCTCGGATAAGGATGGAGCTGACGACTTCGGGGGAGATAGCCATATATAGGTGCAATGTCTCCCCTCTTATAGGCTAGCTCGACAATGGTTTAGTACTCAAGTAGGCCTTGAGGTCCTAAAAAGCTGCACTGCATTTGGCCATCCAAATCATGCTCTCCTTCAGTTTCTTGCTTCCCCTTAATGTTTTGAAGAACGAGAGGCTCCTCTCGGTAGATTTGGAAAGGAAATGACCTAGCGCCACTATCTTTCTGTTTAGCTTCTAGACGTCCTTCAAGGTGCATGATTTGGGTAG